TACACAAATGTCTGGCCAAGATGATTGATTTCTAACCGGACTTCCTGCTTCTCTTGCGCCTGAAATTGCATTAAAAGAAACATGCGCCTAGTTGCAACGCATGGGACTATCACGCTTCTTCTGTGAATATTGCTGTTGCCTTGAAGTTGGCACAGTTAATTTTTGCTTCTGTCTCTCTGCCAGACCAAGGATGAGGGGTTTGGAGAGATTTTATTTAAACAAATATATACCAGCTTCCATCTGAGTTGAAATGCACTTTGCAGGAATCAGCCCCAATATCAGAGTGGTCCAAAGTCACCCAAAACAAAAGAGTGTCTTTAGGCCATTGCCAATGAAGCGCCCTCAGAAATGACACAGAATCCTGCAAAATCTCAAAGATGGCCTCAAATGCAGGGAATGTAGTTTTTTGGTGTTTTTAAAAAAATCGTTCCATCTTGTTACTAAATCATACAGATAAAATGACTCTAAAACTATTTAGAACAGGGACAGCTGTCAGGGTTTGGGGACTTCAATGCCCCCCCCCAAAAAAAAGGACCTAGGAGGGCTACCATCCATGCTGCTCCACCATTAATTTTGTCTTACAATTTATTTGGCCCAAATGCCCCCAGTGCCCCCTAGTGGTCGTTGTTGTTATTGCTGTTTGTCTTAAAGTTATTTCTGACCAGGTTGACTCTAAGGTGAACCTATCACGAGTTTTCATGGCAAGATTTGTTCAGAGCGGGTGTGCCTTTGCCTTCTTCTGAGGCTGAGAGAGTGTGACCTGCCCACCATCCCCCAGTGGCTGAGTGTTGCCTGTGGTCATTATGGTGTCCTGGCGGAAGCTGCCTTTGCCTTCTGGTGTGTGTCCACATGGGACTTGTGCGTAGAAGACGGCCAGCAAGGATGCTGAGCAGAAGCAGCTGTTCTCAGTGGCAGCAGCCGTTGTTGCAAACAGAGCGGCTTTTGCTTCTTGGCTGGGCTCCAGTCCAGAAAGAAGAGAGACCCACGCTCTTGTGCACACAACACACACACACACTTGCACACTCTGTTACTTTCTTTTGTGGAAGGCAGCAAATTGCATCCCTCTTGCCCAAGGTCACACAGCTTTATTTTGATCTCTGGACCTCTAAACCTCTGGAGGAGTCGTCCTGTCTTTGGTCCAAAACACACTGCAGAAATAATCCAGTTTGAGACTGCTTTAACTGCCCTGGTTCAGTGCTAGAGAACCCTGGGAACTATAGTTTGTTGTGACACTAGCGCTTTCTGACAGCGAAAGCTAAATGTCTTACAAAACTACAGGTCCCAGAATTCCCTAGCATTGAGCCAGGGCAGTTAAAGTGGTCTCAAATGGGATTATTTCTGCAGTGTGTGTTTTGGACCTTTGTTCTCTTATTCTTTGTTCTTCATCTCAAGCTCCATCCTACGGAACCCTGGGATTTGTAGTTTTGTGAGACACCAGCACTCTTTGGCAGAGAAGACTAAAGGCCTTATAAAACCACAGTTGAATCTACACTGCAGAATTAATCCAGTTGGACACCACATTAACTGCCCTGGCTCAATGCTATGGCATTCTGGGATTTGTAGTTTGGTGAGCTATTTCGCTTTCGTTGCCAGAGAGCTCTGGTGCCACAACAAACTATAGTTCCCAGGACCCCATAGCATTGAGCAATGGCAGTTAAAGTGATGTCAAACAGGATTATTTCTGCAGTGCGGATGCAGCCTACAAATGCCAGGATTCCATAGGATGGAGCTACAGCACTTAAAGTGGTGTAAAAGTGCATTATTTCTACAGTGTAGATGCAGACTTTTAATTTGGCTTTTGATTAGCAGCATTTATGCTGGGAATCCAAGGTCACTCTTCCTCCTTTGATGCTCTTTGCTTTCTCTCTAGGTTTGCAGAGAGAGCAAAGGAATGAGTGTGTGAACTTCACAAGGATGGATGGAGGAAGGTCAGGTTTTCTTCCTGAATGGAGAAAAGTTACTTTTAACCAGCTTTCAAGAGAAAAAAAAAATTCAACTTTTTTTCAGACCTTTACTTAGAGATCCTGCTTTCTCTTTCTCTTTTTTTGTTGCTCAGCAAAGTTTCCTTTGTGTGTGTGTGTGTACTTCTGCAAAATGCAAACATTACCCTAGTTCTAATTTCTGTCCAGGCAGGAACTGAATGGCAAATATAGCAACACTGCATTTTTTGTATTCACCT